GAGGCTCTGCATGGCTTAAGGATCCCTGTAGGATCTCCTGGTCCCTGGGTTCAGGCTACAAGAAGCCAGAAGCATTTCCCAGGGCCATTTACTGGCTGTTTCCTTCTCTGGTTCTAACCATCTGCTCCCTCACCATTGTAGCAACAGCAGGAGCTGAGTTTCTTCTTATAGGCCAGTAGATTTCACCTAGCTTTGCCTGGCAGAAGTTGACCTTAGTTTTGATGCCCCTCCCCCAAATCCACCATTTCTGTCTGGTAGTTTCTGAAGTGACTCATCTTCACCCAGCTCTAGCCTTGGGGTGGGGTGGCAGAGAGGCAGGATACCTGCTGCATCCATTTCCCTTTATCTCTCTATGAGCTTCTCACAATTTTCTTCCTCTCTGTGTGATAAATATTTCCCTTGCATCGTGTCCTGAGTCTTCTCTAGACAACCATTAATGGAAACTCTGCCCGGCAGTCCTTCAAACCGGCTATTGAAAACAAAGGTTTATTGAGATGTAATTGAAAGTGTGTGTATAAAGTGTACATATTGATTCGATACAGTTATATGTGGCATAATGATTGCCACTGTAGCATTAGCTAACACCTCCATCAAGCCACATAATTAGCATTTTCTTTGTGGTGAGAACATCTGAGAACTACAGAGTGTGTCACACAGCGTTGTTAACTATAATCACCAGGCTGTACCTTAGATTCTCCAAACTTACTCATTAGCTTTGCTTTCATGGTTATTATCTTGCTAGGAACTAAAAAAAGTTGTGTTCAGCAATTAAAACCTGAAACATTGCCATTTTGTTCTTACTGTGTGTCTGCTGCTAACATCTCTTAATTTTCCCCGAGTGAGATGAAATCCTTTGGCAGAAAGGGTTAGAGGGGGAGGCTCATAAAAAGAGACAATGACATCACTATATTTCTGCAAATGTTCTTAATTTAAAAAGCCTATCATTGTCACTGACCTAGAAATGCCTTGGATGGCCAGGAAGTGATTGTATTCATCTCCACATCTCTGGATGTGGCACCTGCTGACATGTTAGGGAGATGAACTAAGGCATCCATACCCCACACAGAGAGGGGGAAATGGCCAGTAGGTGGATGTACAAGAATTAAACCACTGGAATGGAAAAGATGTAACATTTGAGAAAAACTGGCACGATTGGCATTAAAAAATGCCTAAATAAGTGTGGTAAAGTGAGAGTTCATCAAGATGTGTTAATGTGAGAGTATATATTGCTTGTTTAAATATATGTTACACTTTGTAAAATGCTCCCAAATGCACTTTGACACAGAAATTTCTCATCCAGAAATGTATTCCAGAGTAAATTCAGTCACAGAGAAAGGGCTCTGGCCATCCACCCAAGGGTATACTTTAATATTTGGAGCTTGGAATAAACTGTTTCCACTATGGGGCTGCTTGGACAAAGTGTGTTTGTTAGAGGGATATTAGCTATTGGAACAAAGGAGTCACAACCATCAGTTGTTTAATAAAAAGAAATTTAATTCTTATTTGTTTAAGAGACAAATGCAGGTATTTATTGCTTGTGGGTGGCTTTTTCTCATATGATGATTATGTCTGTGGTTTATCCACACAAGTGTCTCAGAATTTCTGCGTCAGAAGGGTAAAGAAATGCTGGAGAAGACACATTCATGTTATAAACCCCAGGCTTGGCACATGTTACTTCCACTCAGATGAGAGTATCTGGATTTTGTGGATGAGCTTGGAAACATCATCTGTAGCTGGGGAGTTTCCTTTCAATGCCACACAATGGAATTTTGTGTTGATATTTGGCTCTCAACTTCTGTCACAGTTAGAGCCCGTTGACATAATGGAGTACTACACAGCTCTTAAAAAGCAGGAGTTGGATCTATATAGATTGACTTGGACACACACCCTTTTTCTTATAGAAATCTTTAAACATGCAAAGTTGAGGAAAATAAGTAACAAACCCACATGTATCCAGATTCAGCTTTAATATGTGACAATTTGGCTGTTCTTGTTTTGCAAGATGTAGTGTTAAATGAAAAGCAAGTAGTAAAACAGCACTGTCCAAAAGAGCTTTCTATGACAATGGAAATGTCCTAGTTTAATGACTAGTCAGTGTGGCTGCTGAATACTCAGATGTGGCTGGTGTGACTAAGGAATGGTCTGTTTTGTTTTAATCAATTTTAATAGATTTAGGTGTAAATAGCTATGTATGATTTAGTAAGTAGCTATGTCTTGGACAGGTCCCCAAGAGTCCCCTCTCCTTCCTCATCGGGCCACAGCCCTCCACCCCACATAAACGCCCACACCATCTGGCAACCCAGAAGACCTGCTCCCTCTCTGCCTTCACTTCCTTCTACTCCAGCCACACATACCTCTCACACACCAGGCCCCACCTACAGCGGGACTTTTGCAAGACTGTTCCCTTGACCTGGAATGTGTTGTTCTGCACATACACATAGCTTCCCCGTTAGCTTTATCTTTCAGTTCATGCACCCTCTCTGTGGTGTCTACTCTATTTTTCACATTAGGTCCCCTAACCCCAATGCTCCAGGTTGTCAACTATGTGATGGTGAGGAATTTTTCATGTCTTGTTCCACTGATGAATTCACTAATCCCAGAACAGTCCTGGCATGTAATAAGTATTTGTATTAGACAGGACCCTTCAGAGAAAGGAAACCAATAGGGTGGCTATCCATCGGTCCACCAGTCCACCCATCCATCCATCGGTCCATCTGTCCATCCATCGGTCCACCCATCCATCTATCGGTCCACCCGTCCATCCATCCGTCCATCCATCCATCGATCCACCAGTCCATCCATCGGTCCACCCATCCATCACCTATCCATCCATCCATCCATACATCCACCCACCCACCCACCTTCTTCACTACCATCGTCTATCTGGGCATGTGAAGATGTATTTTAAGGAGTAGGTTCATGTGAATATGAAGCCCCAAGAGCTGTAGGGTGAGGAAGAACCTGAGACTTGACAGTGTCTGTGGAGCTGAGCTAGGTGAGCATAGCTAGGGGCACAGCAGTGAGCCAGCGGTGCCTCTGCAGAGCCTTACACTGACCAGGTCTTCTTCTACCTCCCCATGGGCGAAGGGCCCTCGTCCCCACCATGCCCCACCTACAGTGGGCTCTCTTCCAGAGAGCAGAACTGGGTCAATCTGACTACGAAGGAGAGGCTGGCTTCTTCCAGGCCCCCCCTTCCCAGACTCACGCTCTCAGGGTGACCAAAAACCCCCCAGTCGCCCCAGCAGCTCTGCTTCCAAGAAGCAGTATGTATAGAGGTCATGGAAGTCTAGCTGCTGGGGATGTCCTTCTAGAAATCTGTGCAAGGATGACTGGGCCTGACGAAGGCAGTGCCTGACGAAAATAGGTGCTTGCTAGCCAGGGGACCAGGTGGTTCTTGGAAAGCCTTGTGGCTTCCTGGTGGCCAGAGGGCACCATGGTTCCCCTTCATGGGGTGGCGTTGCCCCGGGCACAGAGCCAGCTTGAGGTGCTCCTGGCCAAGGGTGTCATGGGTCTGCCTGCCTTTTTTACTGGTTCAGAGGGACCTGGAGCCACTTTCCCCCACCTCACCTCGTGGTCCATCCACCTCTTCCTTGATCGCCCTCACAACCTGTTCTCACAGGGAAAGGCAGGTGGAAGCTGCAGGACCAGCCTTGATAGCAGACAGACAGCCTGCGCAGGCCCTGGCCTGTAAGGGCCCTTGATCCCACTGCACAGGTCTGGGTTGTTATGCTGCTTTTGGATAGAGTCAGGCTTGAGAGATTGAGTTAGAGAAAAAGAGTAGTGGGAACTCACAGAAGCTAGAGACCACAAGTGTAACAAGCCGGAAGTCTGCAGAGAGAGATGTTGCCTCTGCAGATGAAAGAGGAAGCTGGAAATGAGAAGAGAGATACAATCTGAGGTGCCTTGCAGGGGAGGGAAATAAACAAGGCTTGTTGTAGAGAGGAGAGGCCTGACTTTTGGCCCTGGTAATGATAATCCCTCCCTTGGCACTTTACAAAGAGCTTTCCCGTGACTGCCCAGTCTACTTGACAGAGTTGTCACAGACTGCTCTATCACCCCACATCTAACCCGTTGGCAAATTCTGTTAGTAGGGTTTCCAAAATCAACCCAGAATCTTGTGGTCTCTGCTGCTCCCCCCTCCCCGCCTCTCCGGCTGTACCCACTCAGTGTGTCATGCCCTCCACCCCCACAGCCATCGTTCTTCTGGAAGCTGAACCACATGTCAGACAAATCATTGGCAATGGTCTGGAAGAGGCTCCGTGACCTGGCCACGTCACCCGGGTGAGAGGCTACAGGTGGAAGGGCCGGACTCAGAGGTTCACACGTGCTTCACACCTGCTCAGTGTCTGGAACTTGCTAGTGTTATTAAGAAGTGGGGGACGGGATGTGGGGGCACAGACACCACTTTCTGCTTTGATGCTTTCTGGGGGATCTTTACCAGTTGCCCTTGCTCAGAGGCTGTGTTCTGACACTCACATTCTTCCATCTGGGCCGTCACAGCATGCTCCAAGGACTCGCCCCATCAGCACCCTCAGCGGCCCACTAGACATGCAGAAATATCAGGTACCTCAATCGACCTGCTGAATCAGCATCTGATTTTTCAAGCTCTCCCATGGGTGGGACAGGGACTACTTTTCTGTGATCCATTCTTTGAATTGCACCTTCAAGTGCACAGACATCACTGGAAGAGCTTGTCGAAATGCAGATTTTGGCTCAGTAGCAATGAGGCAGGAACTGAGACTTTGCTTTTCCAGCAAACTCCCAGGCAGTGCTAATGTCACTACCCCACAAGCCAGACTTTGGGTCTCCAGGGCCGAGGGTCTTCTGGGCCTGGGTAGAGCAGACCTGGCTGCTATGGGAGTTTCTCAGGGCAGTCGTGACCAGTGGCCATAGCCGGGTGGCTTCAAACCACAGATTTATTCCTTCCCAGCTCTGGAGGCCTGAAGTGTCCAAAATCAGGGTTTCAGCAGGGCGATGCTCTCTCTGAAGGCTGGAGGGGAATGTCGGATCTGCGCTGGTCGCCAGCTTCCAGTGCCACCTGCGTGGGCATTCTGTGGCTGGTGGACATGCTGCCTCAGCTCTGCCTGGCGGCCTCTGTCTCCTCGCCTCACCCTGCTTTTTACAAGAACACCAATCGTGTAAGGTCCAGGGACCACTGTCCCTGGACGGTGATCTCAGTTTATACCTTGTTCGTTTTTTTTTTATTTAAAGATTTATTTATTTCTGCATACGGAATGGGAGTACAGGTCAGAAGTGCAGGGGCGGTGAGAGGATTCACCAGAGACAGAGCGGGGGCAAGAAGCCAGAGTATAGGATTCAACATTTCAACATACCTTTTTGTTAGAGACAATTCAAACGACATCAGTCACCTGCACCTCTCATGCTGGCTAACCCCGCTCTGCCTTCTTCACTGCCAGGTACCAGATATAAGTGTGCCGATACCACCAAGTGCCCTGCTAACTCGATCTGCACCAACACAGTAGGTGATTACTATTGTTCTTGCCAACAAGGCTTTCAGGCTAGCAACGGCCTGCAGACATTCCAGGACTCAAGTGTGGAATGCAGAGGTGAGTTTGCGCTTCCTCAAACCTCTGGCATCTGGTAGGCAAATCAGGTGGAAGCTGATGGGTAGTGGGTGTAGGGGTGTGGTTCTATCCACTCCCCTCCATCATTGTTTCCTTCCTTCCTCCTTCCCTCCCTCTTCCCCATCTTGCTTCCTCTTCCTCCTCCTCCCCCAGAGCTGAGGGTGGAGGTCTTAGACTCCTGCCAGGTGACTGCTTCTCCTGGCAGGTGGGTTTCCTCCTAGAGGGTTGCCATAGGGACCGCCACCTGGTGGAGGAGGGCAACAGGCCCCTGCATGGGGCTGAGTGATGCCGGCTTGGCCATCTTTAGGAAAGACATCGTGCTGCGCAAGAAAAATGTGTCATTCAGACTCTTTCTTGGCTAGATATTGATGAGTGCTCACAAAAGCCCTCCAAATGTGGTGCGAACACCAGCTGCAAAAACTTGCCAGGAAGCTACGAATGCAGCTGTTTGTCTGGTTTCGCCTCCCCCACCGGAAGTGACAGGACCCCAGCAAAGCCGGGCTATCTCTCCTGTACAGGTAATTCTCTTGGGGTGTTGGTGGATGGCTACCTCTATGTTTCCAAACTCAGGCACCCACTTTTTGATCTGTTCACTCTCCTTGTTGCTCCTTAGACAATAACGAATGCCTCAACGGTGGCATCTGTCCTGAGCATTCTGTGTGTACCAACCTCTTGGGAAGCTACACATGGCAGCTGCCTAGCTGGGTTCGCAGCCCACAGTTCCATCTGTGAAGGTGCACATGGCTTTCTCTTCTTTGTGTACCTCCTTATCACTTCATTCAATGATCCTCATTTTAATATGCTCCTCATTTTTCAGGATGAAAAAATTGGGGCTTAAATGAACCCTAGAAGTTCTGTAGTTCTGTCCCTAGAGTGTGTTTTTTCTCTCAGGGAATATTGGCACTGTCTGGAGAATTTTTTTCTTTTATATCTTCCTCAATAACAAAGGTGGGGGGCGGCGTATAGGCTACTGTCCTCTAGGGCAGCATCTAGGGATGCTGCAAACATCCCACAGTGCCCAGAACAGCCTTTCCACACCAGGAGTGACCTGGCTCCAAGCAGCAATATTGCTGAGATAAAGAAACTCTCTTCTAGGGTGACCCAAACCCAACTTAAGAACTTTTTCCTAAAAGGTATGGATGGCCTGTGAGGTATCCGTGAACTTCCTCCTCTCCACATCAAATCAGTTGTCGTGTCGGGGAAATGTACTGAATATTATGGCTCTGTCCATAGTCACCACGCTTGGTTTGGGTTTCACGATTGTTAGTTTCTCCTTTTCTCGGGTCTTGTCCCCCATTTCCACCCTCTACGCCACGTCACAGATATATACAATCTTCAGCTTCTGAGGAGCAGCGCTATGCTGCTCTGATTTCATTGTTGGGAGTGACCCCATCAAGCAAGACATGGAGACCTCCTCACACTCCTCTCGAGCTGGCGTCAGACCTACGTGAAGTCACATTAAATTTTTCCAATGCATGTGTAGCCATTGGCTATTGTGGAATAACAAACCACCCAGGAAACCAATGGCGAAAAGCAGCCATCATTTGTTCAGTTCTCAAGCCCATGCATTTGCATTTCAGGCTGAATCTTGCAGACCGCTCTTTGGGTCTCAGCTGGGCTTGCTCGTGTGTCTGAGGTCCGTGCAGGTCAGAGTTGCCGGGCATGGATGGGCAGGGTCACGTGCCTGGGGCTCATGCGGGAGGATCTTTCTCCCACGTGGTCTGTCATTCGTCATTAGGCTGATCTGGGGCTTGAGCAAGGCAGACACAAAGAGCCCAAACCAGAGAAGCCTCTGGCTTCTCTCAGATCCAAAAATCAGGTGAAAAGAACCCAGGCAAGTAAGAACACTTGTATTATCCCTGGATGTGGGAGCAGGCAGCATGGGGCCACAAAACATTCCTGCAGCATTCATCCACATCAGCACATCCATTCATCTAAGTCATCAGGAGGAAGGGTGCTGGTTCTCCTGGTTCTTTTCAAGAGCTTCTCAATGGTTATCAAACTACCCTGAAGTGTAGTAGTTTATAATAACAACTTTGTTCTTGCTCATGACTCCATGGGTTGACCCCATGGTTTTTCTGGGGCACCAGAATGACTGTCAGGTCCAAAATGGTCCGGCTTACTTGGCTGGAAGCTGGCACTGGTCTGTGATGGGTGGAAGCAAATTTCCTCATAGACCTTCCTAAGTTTGGAAGTGGCACCAAAGCACTCCGGCTATATTCTGTTGGCCAACACAGTTCATAAGGCCAGCTAGATTCCACACCCGAAAGAGAGGGGTGACAAAGTCACGTTGGACTATGTAATCTACACCCCAAGTTGTGGCTGCAGGGAAGAGTAAAGACAATGGTTATTTCTGCAATCCAGGCTCCATATGTCCTGAAGTTACTTGCCATCCTTTTGCTTATTTCCCATTGGCCAGAATTTAATCGCATGACTGTACCTCACAATTAGGAACAGGAGAATTCAGACATGAGGCAGTGTCAGCACTGTGTGCCAAAGTTAAGGACACGTAGCGTGGACCTTCCGTTTGCAGTATGCTGCCCTCATCTCATCAGTCTTTGCTGGGCTTTCTCTTCCATTTACCAGATGTGGATGAATGTGCCCAGCCTGAAGCTTGCCCAGATAATGCAACTTGCCACAATAGTTTTGGAAGCTACTCTTGCACCTGTAACTCAGGATTTGAATCCAGCAGTGGAAAGCTGAGTTTCCAGGGCCCAGCAGAGATGTGTGAAGGTAGAAGCCGGGGGGATCAGGCTGGGAAATCGGGTCCAGGTCTGCTGGCAAAGATAGCAGTTGTGGGGGCACTGGGTGAGTTTCAGCTGAATTCAAGTTCATTTGCAAAGCTGAAGCTAATAATCATGAAATACGAGGGGCTAAATGCAAGGGATGAGGTTAAGTGAGCTCCACTGGGACCAGATGGCTCGGGGCCTTGTATGCACCAGTGAGGACCTCAGATTTTATCCTGAGCCTGGGGAGTCTCATCAGAAGATTTGCTTGGGTCAGAAACATGCCTCTAGCAGCTTCCTTTCCACAAGTGATGAACATGTGCTCATGAAGTTCAGCATGGAGTCAGGGGAACCCACTGACTTCCTCGCTGGCGAGGCTATGAGGTGCTGCTACACCCCCAGCACTTTCTCTGGCTGACCAGACAAATTTTCTGTTAGATGTGGACGAATGTTCCAGGAACTTGAGTTGTTGTGGGCCCAGTTCTGTCTGCACCAACATTCTGGGAGGATACAAGTGTTCTTGCTTGCCTGGGTTTTTGAATCATTGAGAAACCAGAGGCTTTAAGATGCACAGGTAATTCTGGTACTATTAAAGAATTTCTCAGTGGTTGTCCAAATACCTGAAATGTAGTGGTTTATAATAACAATCATTTGTTCTTGCTCATGATTCTATGGGTTGATCCTCTATGGGTTGATCCTCCATAGGTCCAAAATGGTCTCGCTTACTTGACTGGCAGCTGGCACTGGTCTCTGGCTGGGAGTTCAGTTTTCTTCGAGGGCCTTTCTGCATAGCTGCTTTAGCTTCCACTAAGCATGACAGCTGGTTTCCAGGAAGGAAAGTTCCAAGAGAAAGGAAGCATAAACTTCCAGTCCTCATAAGACCTGAACTTGGAAGTCCCAAAATATTCTATCGCATTGGAATTGGTCACATTCCCAGCCGAGGTACAAAGGAAGGGGACATGAACTCTTTAGCTCTCTAGCTCACTGGGGAGCAATAAAATAAATGGAAAGCCATGCCCCTAGTCTAGCCCTACATGCACAATAATTATATCTGGGTTGTCTCCAGCGAGAGCCCGTCTTATTGCAGCTTTCTGCTAGTGGGTAGCTCACTATAAACAGAAACTCATATATTGGCCAGAGACTTTTCTATGAAACCAAGAGGACAACTACTCCTTCTTCCCTTCCAAGCACGTGATATTCCCCTGTCATTCTCCCAGCTCTCTGTGGTGATGCCCAGACCAAGAGGCCTTATATCCTCATAAACTGCTGGTGGATGTTTGTTTATTTTTCATGGTTTATGAGTTGACGCAGAATATGGAAGGTTTTGTCCTTTGCTCCTTACTAATCGCTATTCCATCTATTCAGAGACCCTGAGAGAGAGATCAGTAGCTCATGTTGCCATGTGACATGGCTCATACTGTATTGGCTCGACCAGGATTTCTTAGCTTTGAAACTGTTGGTATTGTGGCCTGTTGCAGAGGGCTGTCTGGTGCAATATAGGATGCTTGCCAGCATTTTGGTCTCTACACATTGCATCCCAACCAAAAATACCTCTAGATATCGTCCAGTGCACTACAGACAGCAAGATACCCTTCACAGAAAACCACCAATAACAGTAGAAATTTCTAACTCTCATAACAATCCATACCTGGATATACCTGGCTAGTGGGCACTTTCTCTCCCTTTAGTGATAGAAAGATCCAGACTCCTTGCATCTGTTAGTTTTTTCTTTTTTTTTATCCATTAAGATCTTGAAATCCTGGTTCTAGCCAGAGGCATGGAAAGAGAGAAGGCACCCCGTTTTTTCACCAGCTTAGCCCAGAATTGATCTAAGACATACACTCTCACAGAGTGGAAACTAGGCACATGGCCCACCGGACAGTGTGCCATGAAGCTAGGCACATGGCCCTCTGACTGATCACAGAGGGTCCTGGGAAATGTGGTCCCTAGTTGAGGGTCCTGAGAAACATTTTTAGTGACAGCTCCATGCATGAATTTTGCTGGATCATTGGCCAGCTTGGTCCTGTGCTCCTTCTCTGCACCACAAATATTGATGAGTGCCTTCAGACGTGCCTTTTCAATGCAACATGCACCAACACCCCTGGGAGCTACTTTTGTGCCTGCCACCCGGCTTTGCAGCAAGCAATGGACAATGACCTTCATGGGCCAAGAAATGGAATACAGAGGAAAACAGAGGTATTGCTGGCTCTTTCTGAAAAGAAGTATCTCCTGGCTACTCTGGTTGCCTGACATGTTTGAGTTATTTGCAGATGTTAATGAATGCCTCCAAGATCCATCACGCTGTGGTCCAAATTCTGTCTGCACCAATGAACCAGGCTCCTACACCTGTGGCTGCATCCTGGGCTTTCGTCCCAATCCAGAAGGCTCCCGGGTATATGGCAATTTCAGCTGCAAACGTAATCATCTCCTTGTGTGTCTTGGCACTGGACTCTGTGTCTTGCTTTTGTTTTAAAATCCTCAGTGACCAACCTCCAGGTCCTCCTGTTACTTTGATCTCATTGACATATGTTTCTTTTTTTCTATCATTTACTTGCTCATTCATTAATTCATTCTATAAATTATTTTAGGGCATTCATCAGTCAAAACCAATCAACTGATTAATTAGATGTCAATTAATTAAAACCAATCAGTTAATTTATTAAACAGCCAATTAATGGAAATAACCAATTAGAATAAATCAATTTGTTAGCTATAATTGACTAGGCAAGTCCTTGCACTTGGTACTGAGGATTCAGTGCTAGCTATGAGCGACATTCACCCTCATATAGTTTCTAGTCTAGGGAAGGAGGCAGAGAGCACACATATAATTATTTAATAACCACAAAAATATCACAGTTGAAAAACCACAGTGCATTTTTGAGTGACTAATGTGCTATTAAATATACTCCAAGGAACTGACATTTATGCTAACGCTTGAATGAAAAATAGCAATGATCAAGTGCGTGGAGATCACAGTGTCTCAAGTCATAGCATGTGCAAAGCCCTGCGTGAAGGGAAGGGGAAATAGCACTAGATGCATCTGAGGAGGTGTGCAGAGGTTAGATTTTGCAGGAACGTGCATCTCGTGTAAAATTCTTGAATTCTTTTTGCCAAGAATAGCAGGGAACCATGAAAGGTTTATTTTATATTTTTTACATATGGGTTATTTGGTACATTAAAAATACAAGTAACTTAGATGGAGGCCATGAGGTATACTAAAATGAATACGTGTGAAGCCCTTGCAGTCCCATCAAGCATTTGCATTTCCTGTGTGTGTCTTTCAGTCCATCTCCTTGTCTTCTCTCAAGAGGGAACCATTTTGTGCTTATAATTCCCTTACCAAAGAAAAACTTCCCCTGCCCCATCATGTTTGATATTCCTAGACAACAAACTGCCTAGTATTGTTGGATTTGGAACTTTATAAAATGTTATCATATCATGTACAGTCTTTTCTGGCATACAGCTATACAGTCCCTGGTGCACTGTATAGCTGTAGTTCTTCATTTCCTATGTTGTATAATATGGTGATGGGTGAAATTTAAGCAGGGGGTGATGAAATCAGACTTGCCCTCTGACATACCTTGCTGTGGTTAATATGTAATGTGGGTACGTCTGCTTTCTTCTTAGAGGTTCCCTTCAAGTGTAAAGAAGATGTGCTCCTTGACAATGAGTGGGTCCAGCAGTGCCAAGTGGAAGCAGCCATGGAGTCCAAGCATGTAAATATTCTGGAAGGTTCCTAGTGCAGGAGGTAACCCACACCACTTATGCAGGGCGTTGTTTCACAACGTTAACAAAGACAAAAGTAACAGTGACCTAACCTAGACAGCGGCTTATTTCTTCCCTGTATTCATCAGCTTTAAGAGCTGACAGAGTGGCTCTTTAGTCCTTGAATATCAACACAAGACCCACATGGTCCAAGATGATTTCTGCAGCCCTTGCCATCATGTTCCATTACATGATGGCGCATAATGTGGAGAGGGTAAGTGAAAGACGGGTTTCCTTTCAAGACCAAGTCTCACTTCAGTTCACTCCTCATTGTCCAGAAATTAGCTCTGTGGTCCTATCTGGCCAAATGGAAAGCGGGAAAGGAGAACATTGATCTGAAACTTGGGGATTCTTTTACTAGAAGGAAAAAGGATGTTGGTGTTGCATTATTGGTGAAGGTGCCCGGGCTATGTTTGTGTGATATGGGGTGGGTGACACACAGTCCCCAGGTCAGGTGAAGAGGAATTTCAGGTCCTGATCATGTAACGAGGTCATTCCAGTCAATAAATATTCCATGAGACTCTTCATGCTCATATTTTAAATATGCACATGTAAGTTTACTTTGGAATTAACTTACACACTTTGGACCTTTGTGTTTAACTTGTGGTGAAATACAGAGTTCCGCCATTTAAAACATTTTAGAGTATACAGTTTGGTGGCACATGGGACAGTCACAATGGTGTACAGCCAACTCCTCCATTTAAAAAAAAATCACCATCAAAAGAAATATTGCACTCATACTCTTTTGCCCCCCCAACCATTAGTTTCTGTGCCTATACATTTGCCTGTTTTGGATATTTCATATCAGTGTATTCTCACACAGTGTGTCCTCACTGAGCATAACTTTTTCAATGTTCAGCCATATTAGAGTATATGTCAGTGGTTTGCTCCTTTTTGGTGACTATGTAATATTCCACCTGACTTTTTTTCCCTTCACATTTCCATGTCTTTCTACTTCACTAAATAGTTGTGCTATAAGTGTTTCAATTTGATCAAAATGTGATTTTTTATTTCCCTGAGACCTCTAGAGATGCATGGCGCTTCACAAATTCAGGATTACCCCACTGGAGTGGTTGATAGTCAGGTTTAGGGAATAGATTGATGGATTGATCAATACTCACAGATGTTCTTCTCTTGGGGGCACAGGTTTCCTTTTGTGAGCTACTGAACACCACTTTAAATGTTCTGGATGAAACCTGTGAAAAAAAAACCATTTCTCTGAAGGTAATGATAAAGTCTTGTAATTGAACTTTAAATTTCAAACATCTTGGGGCAGAAACTCCTCTTTATAATTAGTGGGTTTTGAGTTACCTTTTAATTTATTTTTGTAATGTGGGGAGAGTGATATTTATAATGAATGGGTTGTGAGTTAATGTTTCATCTATTACAGTAAAGTTTTACAAATTAATGCACAGTGAAATTATGCTTTTCTGTATAGTTCTATGAATAAATCACCTGAGTAGGTTTATGTAATCACCACTGCAGTCATAATACAAAGCAGTTCCATTCCCCACCCCAATTCCTTTAAGGTACTCCCTCCATCACTAATCACTATACATTACTGACCTGCTATCATACCTTTATCTTTTCAAGAACATTATATTAATGGAATCACACAATATGTGGTTTTTGAAGTCACTTTTTTTTTTCACTCAGCATAATGTCTTTGAGATTTACCAATGTTCTGTTTATCAATAGTGCAGTTCCCCTTTTATTTCCTGGTAAACATTAGTGACATTTAGTACATTCACAGTTGTGCAACCGTCACTGCTCTCTAGTTTCAGCACGTTTTCTCTACCCCAAAGGGGATTTCCAGACTCATTAAGCAGTCACTTGTTTCCTATTTTGCCAGTACCAGGCAAATACTAATCTACTTTGTCTCTGTTCATGTCACTTCCTGCATATTTTATGTAAATGGGATCATACTTTGTGTGCTCTTTTGGATCTGAGCATTTTGTTTCCTAGGTTCATCCATGTTGTAGTGTGTCAGTGTTTCATCTTTTTTTATGTCTGAGTAATAGTCCATTGTGTGGATGGGCTACATTTGTTTATTCATTATTTTTGAAAGACATTTAAGTTGTTTCTTCTTGACCATTCCTCTACCAACCTAGCTTTTGGTGATTATCAATAGAGCTACTATGAACATTCATTTATGTGTGTGTGTATGTGTTCACCTAAATTTTCATTTATCTTGCATAAGTACAGTAATACAGCAGCAAACATATGGGTGATATATTCTGAGAAATATGTTGTTTAACACGATAGGGAATAATTACACAAACTCAATGGTATAATCTGCATTATACTTAAACTACCTGGTATAGCTCATTGATAGAGCACAAAAATACTAATTAATATGATTATTATTGATTTTCTTTAGGCATAATCAATATTGACATTTAGATGTACATCTTTTCAGATCTTTTACTTTTGGTGAAAATATGTATAACACACACATTGAATTTATTTATCAGGCACATACAATGAGAGGTTTAGAGAAGTGCTTTTAGGATTCCTCTTCTGAGGCTGAACTGCCAAGTTTCAAATCTAGGTTTTTGTTTTAGTTCCCCATCCCAAAACATAAATAATAACCTCTACTTTATAGATCTCTTCAAGTTAAATGAACTATATAAAACAGTTAAAATAATTCCTGGCTCAAAATGTTTTTTTTTTATAATTATTGATGTATATATTTCACATATATATTCATATACATATATATATTTATACATTGCTATAGAAATATAAATGCATGGTATGGAAGAAAATATATAAAATCTATATTTACCTTCGATGTGATCATAGGATTATTTATATTTTTACTTATTTTTTAAATTATATTAGTTTATTTTTACATATTTTTGTGCATTTTTCCACCTCAGTTGCAATCCCCGTGGGTTTCCCATCACCAAATCACCTATGTGCCATCACTATAGTCCAGTGCATTCCCCCCCCCCCACAGTTTTTGATCCCATTCCCCACTCCACCCCCACAAAATGTCTCTGGTATATAGCTGTTCATCATTAAAATAAGTGTTATTTTTATTTCTTTGTGCCAGAAACATAAATACCCTAAATAAAAAATTGCATATATGGGCCCTCCCTGGTGGCGCAGCGGGTTAAAGCACACCACTAAGAAGCTAAAGCCACTTCCGCATGAGTTCGATTCCCGCCTGCCCTGGAGGTGACCCACATGGCGAGGCAGACCTCTCCTGACCTGCCCGCTGCTCCCCTCAGCAGTGTACTTCGTCGATCTGCCTGTTCTGCTCCCCACTCTGGTGAATCCTCTCACCCTCCGCATCTCTGGCCTGTACCCCAGTTCTATATGAATAAATAAATAAATCTTTAAAAAAATTGCATATCAAGTAGTGGTTTTTAAACTAAATGAGATAATATATACATTCTGTTCTCTAATTTATTTTGTGTAATGATGACATGTAGACCCTTTGCTTGATAATATCATTCATTTTTAAGTAGCTGTATATGACCATGATTGGATTGCTTCATCACATATTTAACCAATCTGCTGGATATTTAAAAATGGACACAATTGCACAAGACCCTTGCATAATTTTAAATTACTTCTGGAAAGATGAATTTCAGAAATAGAAATTTCTGAGTCACAGGTCATGAGAAATTTATGCTGTTGCAGTTGCTGACTTACTACATACCATGAAGTCTACCTCGATTTTCAGTTCAATATGAATCTGGGAAAGAAGGCTTCATGGATGCCCTTTTAGTTATTTCACTGATGTAAACTGTCAATCTCTTTCTATCTCATTTTATTGAAGTAATGTTGCATTAGAATATCATATGATTTCTGGTGCGCCTTAATATAAATCAGTGTATGGCTATGCATGTTACACATGAAGCTTAACACTAAAATCTAGTTCTATCCTTCACCATTACTGACCATTTATAACCAATCTGCTTACTCCTCTTTCTCCTTGCCTTCTGGTAACCACTAAATTTGGTCTTACAGTCTAAAAGTTTTTCTTTTTTATTTAGTTACTTCATTTAGTTTCTCTGTATGCCACGTGTATGAAGCCCTATGGTGTTTGTCTCTCTCTGTCTGTCTCATTTCACGAAGTTTGATACTCTCTAGGTCCATCTATGCTGTTGCAAATGGCAGGATTTCCTTTGTTTTTATAGCTGAGTAGTATTCCATTGCGTATATAAATCACATCTTTATCTAACCTTCAGTTGATGGACACTTACGTTGTTTCCAACTTTTGCCTGTTGTGGTTGATGCTTCCCTCAACATGGGGTACGTATAACTCTTTAAAGTAGTGTTTTTGTATCTTTCATCAACCCATTCTGTTGATGAGAATGAGGGACAGCTGCTGTTTCACTGGAGAAAGATGACAGATGGGAGAGAGAGTGAGAGAAAAGAGTGAGCACATACTTCTTTCCTTGCAGGAATCAGCTGAGAAATTTGCTCCTGTGCTTAAACAAACATCCACATGGTCTAACTTCACCAAAGAAAAGATATCTGCCCTGGCCACAGTCTTACTGAAGAGTGTGGAAAGCACCACACTGGCAGCTTTTCTGAAACCCTCAGCAAATGCAAGCCAAACTATTCAGTTGGAATATCTAGGTAGGCTATATCCTTCATGGGTAGATCATGGTCTCAAGGGGTTTGATATTGAGGGGTGATGCTGGCAATTTAATTCTGTGTAGTTTTCCCACATCTCCCATATATTGAATGCCTGGGTTCAGAGTGTATTATTTTAATATGTCATTAATTCATTCAACATGTAATTTCTGCATGCCTATTGTATGCCAGTAATTAAAGTACAACCGCTGTTTGCTATAGTCAAACATTTCTAGATTTCTCTTCTGGTCCATGGGTGAGATTGTGCAACCTAGGCTGATTTGGTGACTAGTTCAGGTCAGTGAATTTTATGAGTCCTTCCAGAGCTCTCTTTCCCTATGCCATGCCTGGCAATATTTCAAACACAGTTTCTCTAGGATCAGTGCAACACAGAACAGGGCCCCAAGTCAATGCAGGACTGGGAAAGAAATACTTTTTTTATTTCTAATTCACTAAGTTTTGGGGTTTTTTGTTACTGCCACAAGACCTGACTAGGAGAACTGTGGTCTTGCTACCCTTACTATCCATTCCACTGTCTTGGCATAATGGGTCCCATGGATGTTTTACAGGAGCACCCTGCTTGGGATACTAACTGTAATATAAATCACACAACCCTAGGAAGTTCCATCCTAATATGTACCCAGGAGGAACTGCTGATACTACTGAACAAGACCCATTTTGTGAATTTTATATTTTACACGGAATCAGACAACAGACACCTGGTATACCAGATAGAGCTAGAACTATTAAGCAAAATACACCAGGGTAAGGAGGCTACAAAGTATCAGAATTAAGATAGAGTACTGCTGATTTAAATACTTTAGCTAGGGAAAGTTTCTCTGGAACAGGGACCTGATGGAAGGGAGCTCTGGAAATATCTGCAGACAGAGCAAGTACAAGAACATTTGGCAAGTTCAAGGAACAAAGAGGAGCCAGTGTGGAGTGGAAGATGGTAAAAGGGTGAAAACCCTTAAGGAGAAAGGGTCATAGTAGAAAGGGGAGGCAGGTTTGGTATAATTGTAGGCACTTCGGATTTTATTTGAAGTGAGATGGAGGGATTTTGGAGAGTTTGAAAAAGGGCATCACATTATTTGGCTTACATATATGTTTTAACATTTTTAAAAAAGATTTACTTATTTATGCATATAAGAACTGGGGTACAGGCCAGAGGTGTGGTGGGTGAGGGGATTCACCAGAGAGAGAGAGAGGAGCAGAACAGACAGATCGGCTGAAATACACTGCTGAGGGGAGCAGTAGGTGTGTCAGGGGAGGTCTGCCGCACCACATGGGTCACCTCCCTGGCCTGCTGGGGGTCAAACTTGTGCTTAGGTGGCTGTGGACAGCTTCACAGCATTGTGCTTTACCCATTGAGCCACCAGGGAGGCTCCTGGCTTATATTTTGAAAGGACATCTCTGGTGTAATTTTTTTTCTGTCTTCCTTAAGAGTCCTATAATGATTGCCACCTTACAGGTCATTGGTAAAGTTTACATAGCTGTGGAATGGCAAAGCTGTGCCTCCTAGTTAGTCCACCAGACGGTGGACTTTAAGCCTTGTCCACTCTGCTGGATCTGCCTAGTCCCTTACTATTTCCTTTGGCTTTGGAAAGCTCATCTACCTTTGAACCAGTCAAAGGTCATGACGCTCTCATCTCCCATCACACACACACAAAAAAACCCCATTTTTTCCTGATGCACTCCCCCAAATGTAAGCACTCACTCAGAAAGTGCCAGTCGGGTTTCTTATTGCTTGGTGCTACCGTCATCCTGTCATTCATTAAGGGGCTCAAGATCTTTTCCACCATGACCTGAATTTTCCATTCTTTACCCGCAACTAGGGAGATATAACCTTACTGGACAGAAATTAAATTCAGGACCCGTTTTCTGTGTTACTTCAAGAAAACACTGCCTTTCTCCTTTCAGATATTGAGAGCAAAGTCATCAATCAAAGTTGCACTGAAGATCATGTAAATTTTCACTTTAAAGCCAAAGGGAATGAGATGAAGATTGGGTGTCCCACAGTTGAGGAATCTGGAGCCTCAGGTACAGATCTGCTCTTGAGAATCAAGAAGCATAGCTATGATTGCATTAGATCAGCAAATATTTATTGGTCACCTCTTAGGTTCCAAAACCAGTTGAGGGATTCAGTGATGGGAGAAACAGTCTATACTTTCAGTGACTTTTCCATATGCTGAGGAAGTCAGACTTATGCTTGACCTTAGCCAAAAGGCCAAGAAGTGATAGAAGTCACATATTAAATAGGTAAATTCAAAATACTTGAGTATTGATTCCTTTACTCTCTAATATGGCAGCAACTGAACACATTTGGCCACTGAAGACTCAGAATAGGATTAAACTATAAAGATAAAATATATAGTACATTTCAAAGTCTTGGTATAAAGAAAAAAATGGCTATAAAATATCTCACCAATAACTATGTTGATTGCATGTTGAAATGATATTTTTGCATGTATTGCATTAATTCATTATTAAAATTAACTTGACATTTTTTACTTGTCTAAAATGTAGGTATTAGAAAATTTAAATGTACATATGTGGCTCATACTGTATTTCTAGAGGACAGTGCTAATCTGTATCAAAGTTTGGCAAACTTTTCCTATAAAGAGTTGGTGAATAAATATTTTAGGCCAATAATGTCTGTGGCATAATTCAATTCTACCATCTTAGTGCAAGAGCAATCATAGACAATATGTCACAAGTATGTGTGACTGAGTTACAGCTTTTATTCACAAAAAGTTGGCAGTGACCATGTTGGTTCATAGACCATTGTTCGCTGCCTTCTGATTTATGTGTTGGCTGGAGGCCCAGAGAGTAAGCCTAGGGAGGGGAGAACACTAGTATTGAAAGGAAAATGCACCAAGGAGACTAAATAAATATAGCCATAAATTTGGGAAGGAACTTTGTTTTCTACTGCTGCATTGAACGGTCCCTCAAAAATGCAGCCCATATTTCTCCAGTGAGACATCGGTAAGAGCCACAGACCTGAATTCCAACCCTCAGAGCAGGCCAGTGGGGATGCAGAGATGCACAGAAAAGTAGCAGGATGTATGTTGGGTCAGTTATAATAACTACTGAACGGAGCCTGTGATTCTTTTTTTCCACTTGGGGAACTCACAGGGATCATTGGGGTGGCTTTTATCTCCTTTGCTGGCTTGGAGTCTGTTTTAAATGAGAGCTTCTTCCAATACCCCCAAACCTTCTTGGCCCACTCTGAAAAGAAGCTGAAGATGAACTCTCGTGTTGCTGGGGGGGTCACGACGGGGGAGAAGAAAGAGGGCCTCACTCATCCAGTCATCTACACTATGGAGAACATTGAGGTTTGTGAAGAAGTTGTGATTGAACTCCCCTACCCCATTTCTTGGCTGGGAACCTCTGTTCCCCAGTGGGCTTAACTCTTATGTTTTATGGGGATCCATCAAAGCAGCAAGTTTCATTAATAGACAAGACTCAGACTAATCCTGAAAATAGACCTCTAGAAAGAAGGAGCTGCCCTATTTCTAGGTGACTTCCATACACCAGTGGGTGAAGTTTAGGCTGACAAAGTATTGGTGACGCAGGGAGATTTATATCAGCTCCTGTTGCATTAGTTCTAACCAAGTCAGTGGTAGAGACAGTTCTTATCATCACTGCACACTGAAATATCTGTACTTTCCCCCATTCCTGACAGAACATACCCTGTATCTTCTAGCCCCAAACGGTCCTGGAGGTTGATCACATTGGATCCATTTGAGAGGGAGCCTCAGGTGACCAGGGTCTTTGGCTTTTTTTTCAGCCAGAGCAGAAGTTTGAGTTGCATTATCTATGTTTCTTGGAGCTACCATGAGTTATTTGTAATAACAAGACTTGACAGAGCTTTTCATTTTGTCAATACTCCTTAGCCAGTTACAGCTTTTTTTTCTTAACAATTTCATCTTGCTGCCTCTTATTTCCCCCCACATGTTTTTCTTTTCTGGTAATTGTTAGGTAACTGTCTTAAAATAGGCTTGATAGAATGTTTTGCCAAGTTCCCTACTGGTCTACCAACTACATGTTCTATTCTGGATCAGATGACCCACAACCCTACCTCATACTCTCTGTCTCTCACAGTTTCCCAGCTGCCCTGGCCTTCAGTCACTTCTGGAAACCATCAATCTCCTTCCTGCTGGGGCATCTGTGTGTGATGGCACTTCGCTGAGAATGCCATGCTTAGAACCCAATACTTTTACATTAACATTTCTTTATCCAGATAATCCCTATATTTCTTTCACATCTCAAACATCATTCTTCAGAGGAGTCTTTCATTAACAGTTACTTTAACTTATATTTTATGCATTTTTAAAATACACTGTATTTTTAAACTATTGCTAAAAATAACCTCTCTCTTTAGTTATTTTTCCTGTTTCTCCTCTGTGATCTCCCTGGGGGCAGGGATTATGTTGATTTTTTTACTGGTAGCTCTCATAGATAACACATGTCACGCATGCACTAGGTGCTCTGTAAAACACATTGAAGGCATGGGTGAATAAATGAATGAGAGACATAAATTTGCTGAAAGTTTTCCTCTAGCAGCCAGAGGCAGGTTGCCCCACAAGCCTAAGCTATCTCTGTCTATCAGAATATCAGCTTTCTTTTCCATTCCAGAAAAACTTTTCTGCATCATTTTGCTCCAGATAACACTTAGCATTGGTCACATGAATCCATTCAAGAGAGATGCTCAGCCCAAAAAAAGATTAAAAACTTGGGGCGGGGGTTTGAGTAAATAGGGTATTGGCACAGTGGTTTGGTGGATGGTGAATGGAACATATGCTCCAATGGAGGTCTAAAAAATGTAACCCCTAAATCAAAATGATAAGTAGATTAACAAACAATCAAAGAGGACTCTTGATTTTTTTTCAGCCAAAGCAGAAGTCTGAGACACCCATCTGTGTTTTCTGGAGCACACATGTAAATGGCGGGAGGTGGGTACCATCTGGCTGCTCAATTCTTGAAGCTTCCGAGACACATACCGTCTGCAGCTGTAATCAGATGGCGAACCTGGCCATCATCATGGCTTCTGACGAGCTCACGGTCAGTACTGCTGTTTTGTGCTTGCTGCCAGATTCTATGAGAAAATGTTGAAGTACAGCCCTTGTGACCTCTCACAGTGTTGGGTGCTATGGGGGGTAAGAGGAGTCATAGACAGGGTGGGACCCATGCTTCTGCCTTGGAGAACTCATGGTCTGGCTGGGAAGCCCTGACACTCACAGCTGGCATTTGTAGAACACCTCCCCTGTGGTGAATATTTTAAGTGACTTTAGACTCATTTCCCGTGATGAGTGAATGAGACTCAGTCGCTTGCCTAGTCCATGACACTAGTAATTGGTGGAGATGAGATTCAAACCCAGGACAGTCTGGTTCCAAAGGTCTCTTTCCACTGAGCTGAACAAATATTACAAAAGACTGTGCTGTAGGAATTCATAGTAGTTCAGTGAGAACTGGTGATAAATCAGGAAGGAAATAGAGTGTGTGATGAGTCTTGGAGAGAGAACAGATTTGGTAGAGAGGAAAGGCATCATCATTTATGCCATGGTGACCAAGATTGAACTCACAAAATTTTGGGAAAGGATGGAAGAGTTGAAGTCATAGGGCTGTAACTGTGATTTTGGTTACACAGATGTCAGAAAGAACTGCTGCCAGGTAGACCTGCAACCATGAAACAGGACGAGACAGCGGGCATGGAGTCTAACCATAGCTCACTGTGTATGTGAAAAGCTCGTGTCTGCCTCTGTTCTGCCTTCCAAAACTTCCATGCATGCATCTTGGAGAACGTAAATCACATCCAGGATCCTAGCCCCAGAAGATGCTGGCAACTGTAGTTTGTAGACATGGAATGAGGCATCACCGAGATAAGAGAACAGGTCTCAGCTGACATAGGTTGACTGACCTGTCTGAGGAAGCAAGAGAGGGCTCCTCCTCCTAAGTCTTAAGTCATATATTCCTCTGAATGGGGCAGGGGCCAGAAAGGGCTCTGGTAGAAGCTAATGGACACCAAAGATGCCAGTGGACAGTAGCTAGTTCACTCTGCATGTAGGAGGGTGAAAAACACCCTCTCACCACCTCGTTGTTTCTTCCCAGCCAGGAGTGTGCTGTGGGGGCAGGGACTGTTGGCTCCTCTCTGGGTCTAACAGAGGACCTCTTTCTTGACAGATGGAGTTCTCCTTGTACATCATTAGCTACGTGGGCATTATCATATCTTTGGTGTGTCTCATCCTGGCCATCATCACCTTCCTTCTGTGTCGTGCCATTCGTCACCAGAACACCTACATCCATCTCCACCTCTGCATTTGTCTCTTCTTGGCCAAGCTTCTCTTCCTGGCTGGTGTGGACAAGACTGACAACCAGGTCTCACATCCCTCGACCGCCTCCCACCTAGCTCCATCATCTCCACATCTCCCCCTCTCATCCTCCATGCAAGTTCCCACCTCAGTGCCTTTGCACATGCTCTGTCCTCTCCCATAACACTCATTGCTCAGATCTTCACCTGCTTGACTCCTTGTAATCGGATGTTGCGTCGGGCAACAACACACTGATAAAGAGACGGGAGTCGTGGAGCAGCTACATAATGCAGGATGCTGCTGAAGGCCAGATCCTGGTCTTTTTATTGGTAAACTCATCATATAGCATTAATTATATGAGCAAGTAGAAAAGGAAAGGGAGAATTAGAAGAAGCTGGGGGAAAGGTGGAACTGCACTTCTCACCTGCTGATAGCTTGGCATGTAGATCAAGCCCTGACTCCTCAGTCGGGATTTCAATCTGATCAATAAGGCATTCCACTGATCAGCTTCTGGGGTCCTTGGTTATACATCAGTCAAGGGGCCCCCGGGCGTTTCCAGTCATACCTTGTGATGTATAAATCAGGAGTAAGTTTACACAGGGTAGCCCCCAGGAAGAAAGTAACCTGCCAATAGTGTTTCAAATGTCATTGTGCCACTACTGAGAAAGTCTACATCTTACTGCTCCATTCTTGGCATTCTTTCCCAGCACTTCTTTGAAATCATGTTGATTATTGTTTGACTTGTTGTATATCTACCACTCCCACTCGAGAGAGCAGGAACTTTGGGCAAGAACCCTGCCAAACAGGAGCACAAATGGCATTTTAGGCAGGCTGCTCACCAGGTGCAGCGCCCTCGCCTATTGAAGGATAGTGGCATCTCAGACTCCTGAGAACGAAATGCCTCTGTGCCCCGCTGCCATCATTTCTCCAGGGTAGGCCTGTGTAACTATTTTCAGCTGTGCCATCGACACTGACTAAACTCTGTTGTCTCAGTGTAAGACCAGCCCTAGACGCCTCCTAAAAGGTTGTGGGCATGTGGCTTGTACCAATGACAGTTACTCATTAAACAACTGGCTGGCTCAATGGCTGTCATCTACAGACCCATCCCCATATCTTCAAACATCCTCTAAGGTAGAGAGACCAACTGTCCATGCCTCCTGCTACTTGGGCACCCTCAGTTCCTGGCCAAGTCAGGAGGACTGGTGATTCTACCCCCTGCAGTGAAGAACAGCTGGATAAACAAGTGTGGGATGCATGATCAGGCTGTGTTTAGGGATCTCCGATTCATGCAGACCCTCCCACACTCTCTCCCCCTCAAGCTGCTCTGTTGAAGATAGGATGGCAGGGGTCCTGAGGGCTGCATGCTTCTCCCCTCCAGGTGGTCTGTGCCCTCATCGCGGGTTTTCTGCACTACCTTTTCCTCGCCTCCTTCTTCTGGATGCTGGTGGAGGCCGTGATGCTCTTCCTTATGGTCAGGAACTTGAAGGTGGTGAACTACTTCAGCTCCCGCAACATCAAGATGCTGCACCTCTGTGCCGCTGGCTATGGGCTCCCGGGGCTGCTGGTGGTCATCTCTGCCAGTGTGCGGCCAACAGGCTATGGGGTGCACAATCGGTGAGTGACCCCCCTTCTCTCTCACTGATGATGACCCAGTGTCCGGGTTTATGATGGTGTCTACATGGATAACAAAAAGGATGCAAACTGTAGCAGCAGCACAGCTCCTATGCAGTGAATTCTCCCTGTTGGCATCAGGAGTGCTGTTCCAGGTGTGCACTGTGCAAACCTCAGAGGTGTTGTTCAGGTGTGCACTGCACAAACCTCAGAGGTGTT